CCCCTGCCCACCCCACTGTCCACCCTCCTGCCCACCCCCCTGTCCATCCCCCTGCCTAGCCCCTTGTCCACCCTGTCCACCCCCCGTCCACCTTCCCGTCCGATGCGAGTCCGCCCTGCACCGGCTGCTGCCCGCTGCAGCTTTCGCCCGGACTTCAGCTGTCCTCTGCGTCCTGCATGCGGGATCCTTTCCCTTGCAACTGGCTTTTTTTTCTTTTAAGGAACCTCAAGTGCACGGAGTTGAGTTGATTCTACTCAGTTCTTGGCACCCTGTGGGCCAGTGCAAGGCCCCGCTTTTATCTTCCTGCCTTCTTCTTTTCCATTCTTAATTCCATTTCACTCTCCCTCTCAGACACCGACACTGGTATAATAAATGAGTATCTTTACGGTCCACCTTACATAAGTTTGGTTTGGATTCATATAAATGATAAAATGCTGTGTTTTTTTTTAAAAACCTTTTTTTCTCAGCGTTGTGTTTTTGAGATCATCCGTGCTCCACAGTGGTCTAGTTTTCACTTCTGAGCACTGCATAGGGCTACCCTGGACATAGACCCCGTTTACTTATTCATCCCCCTAGTGATGAACACAAAAACCTTTTTTTCTCAGCGTTGTGTTTTTGAGATCATCCGTGCTCCACAGTGGTCTAGTTTTCACTTCTGAGCCCTGCATAGGGCTACCCTGGACATAGACCCCGTTTACTTATTCATCCCCCTAGTGATGAACACCTTGATTGCTTCCAGTTTTTTAACCACCACAAACCATACTGTGATGAATATTCTGGCGGTTGTCTCTTTGTGGACATCAGTGATTTTCTATGGGTTATCCACCCCAGGGTAGGATGCTTCGTCATCCCTAATTCTGCTAGATTGTTCTCTAGAATGGTCACACCAGTTTGTACTTCCCAACAGGGGTGCATAAAGGTTCCTCTTTCCCGGTATTCCCGCAACATTTGGTGGTGTTTGATTTTTGTAATGTTTATCAATCTGATGGATGTAGGGTGGTATCCCATTGGTGTTAATTCTCACGTATTTATTAGGCATTTGGGTTTCCCCTTTATTAATTGCCTATTTATATGCTTTTCCCACTTTTCTATGGATTTCCAGTCTTCCCGATTTGCAGGAATTTCTTGTATGTTCTAGCTTTTAGTTCCCTGTTGGTTTTACACTGCAGATACCTTCTCCAGTTCTTTTAACTTGAACCTATGGTACTGTATTGAACAAAAAAACTCAATTCTAAGTTAAACCCATCAGTTTTCCCCTTTATACTTCATGGGTTTGGGGCCTTATTTGAAAAATGCTTCCCCAGTTCAACATTATTAAGATATCTTCTTTAAGATATTTTTCTAGATTTCCTTCTATCAACTGAATAGTGTTACTTTTCTCATTTAGATCTATTCCTAGCCCACATCTTCAGCAGTTCTAAACTATTCTTTCTGCATATCCTGGACCCTCTATAGAACAAGGTGGATAAGCTTGATGTAATTGTGCTCTAAGGCTTAACTGCCCTCTTTGGCTTTTCTCTATTTCTCCGACTTCTCTTCTTCAGGCCCAAGTTAGATCTGCAGTTTCTGCAGCGGTTCCTGAAGATACAGAAGGTTTTGTTTCCCTCTTGGTCATCACAGAATGCCTTGATGTTTATGACCCTTTTGTGTGTGGCCCTACTGGGTGAGTGAGCCCAGGCTGGGGGGAAGCCCTGGTTTTGGGTCCCTTTCCTTCTTTCTGGGGTGTCACTGAGGCAGGGACTCAGGAGGGAGCCTCCTCCTTCTTCTGATGCCTCATCACTGATTTCTGACTCTTCTCCCTCCCTCCAGAACAATTGGTGATCTACCAGGTTGGCTTGATCCCCAGTCAGTACTATGGAGTCCTGGGAAACAAAGACTTGGCTGGGTTTAAGGCTCTGACATTACTGGCTGTCCTGCTCATCGTTCTCAACTCCATGGTAAGGTCTTTCCTTCTTCCTGGGTCTCTCTTCCTCTCTACTCTAGTGAGTGGAATGCCCAGTAGGACTTAGCCTCCAGGAAGCAGGAACCAAGCTGTGGGTATATGTTCCCTCCATTTTCCAGGAACTGCAGGGATGGTTGCCCTGAAGGTCAGGACCCTAGGCAGGGCATTGATCTTGCCGTCGGCCCACTTGGGATGGATTCCTCAGCTCTCTTAAGCTACTAGGGCTAGGCCACAGGGTTCTGGTTTAATTCAGCATTTAGCGGAAGTGATCATTATCCCTTCCATTCCCAGAATTCTTGCTTCAGGGAATGCAGAGCACTTTAAAATGGGGATCAGCACCAGAGCTGCTGCTGCTGCTCCTCTGGGGCTGAGGCTGTGACTCAGCCCGGTACTGTGTCAATACCTCCCAGTCTTTGCACCTGCTGCTTTCTTGCAGAATGATCCCCTCTCACCCCTTGTTCAGTTAGCTAAAGCCTGCTCATTTGTCAAGATACTTCTATTGTCATGTCTTTCAAACTGTCCTCAACTTTCTCCTTCATGTTTCCTCCACCAAACTCCACCCTTTCTCGGTACTTAAGTAATTCCTTGAGTTTACTTCTGCTGTAACACTCCCTACACCTTGTAATTGTCTGTTTCCAGGCCAGACTGTGAGCTTATTATTTCCCCAGTGCTTAGCATGTAGGTGCTCTGGAAGTGGTAAATGGTGACACTCAGGGCTCTCAGTCCTGGCACTCAAGCCTAATGCTCTGTCTCAGGCTGTACTACCTGTTTTCTTGGAGAAGCCACTTCTCATCATGCTGTGGCTGCTTTTGATGGGTCTTCATTCAGTGAACACCTGTGTATATACAACCCTGTTCCAAGCTTGGGGGCAGGGGTAAGAACGTAAATGGAATAGATGATACTGTCCGCAATCTCCAGAAGCTCATCTGTGCTGTCATGCTGTGGCTGCTTTTGATGGGTCTTCATTCAGTGAACACCTGTGTATATACAACCCTGTTCCAAGCTTGGGGGCGGGGGTAAGAACGTAAATGGAATAGATGATACTGTCCGCAATCTCCAGAAGCTCATCTGTGCTCAGCATAAGACAGTACAATGTAGAAAGGGGCTTGAGTGTCTTGCCTTTGGTAAGCCCTTCAATATTTGGTAAAGGAATGAACACATGAGTGAATGAGGAAGGGAAAATCCCATGACTTGACACGTTAAACAAGAAAAGTGCCCAGTGGACAGAGAGCAATCAGAGCGGGCTGGGACTGGTCAGTATAGGCTTTCTGCCAGTCCTGAACTTTGAGCTGAGACTTGCAGGAAGCCATCTGTCCCCTCCCCTTCCTTCTCCTTGCCTCCTCCACCACACAGCTGAAGAGCTTTGACCAGTTCACCTGCAACCTGCTGTATGTGAGCTGGAGGAAGGACCTCACTGAGCACCTCCACCGCCTCTACTTCCGGGGCCGCGTGTACTACACCCTCAACGTGCTGCGGGATGACATCGATAACCCGTAGGCATCCCTCTCAGTCCTCACTGCCTTCTCTATGGCCCTGTCCATCTGGCTTACCCTAGAGAGTCCTGGCCATAGACCCCATGGAGCTCATCTGAAGCTGATACTTGCAAATGTTGTTGTCCAGAGCCATGGGGGGAGGGTGCTCCACAGAGGACCCCTGGGGATGCTGTGGGACTGAGAACAGGGAGCTAGAAAGAGGCCATGAGCAGATCCCTTTTGTCCATTTCATGTCCTGGGCTTCCAAGTAAGGCACCCTCTGAAGGAAATGTGCTTCCTAGAAAACCAGCTCTTGGATTTTCAGCAGTAAGAAAATGACTGTTATCTGGGACTTGGTGTAGGATTCATATCCTCATTCTGTCATCTCTCAGCTTATAGCTCTTACATTTGCTAAGCCCCAGGTTCGCCTTCTGTAAAATGAGTATAATAGTACTTATCTCAAAGGACATAGCAAGAATGAAATGATATGATTCGTGGAATGCATATGTATGGTGCCTGACACATACGAGTGTTCCAATGTAAGTTAGTTGTTGTTATTTTATAGGTGAGGAAACTGAGGCCCAGGGATTGCCGACAACTTGCTCAAGGTCACATCTCTCAATGAGAGTAGCAGTCATTGTGGCCCTGGGGGTGAGATGGAACATAGTGGGTTTCTCCTTCACATTCGTCCCTTCCTCTCTCACCACCCTCCCAGCAAGCACTTTGTTGCTGGGGTGACTTTTCTCAGCTCAAGCAGAGCCTTGCAGCAAAGCTTCTTGGTCAGCTGCTGCTGCTGCTTAACTTCTGGGCTTCTTCTGATGGCTCAGCCCATATGAATCTTTCACAGCTAGACTGCTCAAATGGGGCAGGTGCAGGCTCATATAAAAGAAACTAGGGAGGATTGAGATAAAGTAGACAGTTTTCCTGATCATCCAGAAAAGCAGCTCATCGACCCTCAAGTTTTTCTTTAGCTCTGCTCAGAGCTGGCTCAGGCCCCTGGGTGCTGGACCTTCCAGTTCTCACTTTTTCTGAGGGATAAACTGAGGTACCATAAGATGCAGCTCTCCAGAATCCCATTCAGAGACCCTCAGGGCTTAGTTACCTCTAGGAAACCAGCCTTATCTAGGTCCATCTTCCCATGGGGTCATTGCTGCAGCACTGAAAGGCAAGGTCAGAAGAAGAGGTAATGTGACACTGTGTTGGCTCTCCGCACCCCTCGAGCCCAGTCCCCTCGGTCCAGCTACTCTGTGTCGTTGGCTACAGGGACCAGCGCATCAGCCAGGATGTGGAGCGATTCTGCCGGCAGCTCAGCAGCATAGCCAGCAAGCTGATCATCTCCCCCTTCACCCTTGCCTACTATACTTATCATTGTGTCCAAAGTGTTGGCTCTCCGCACCCCTCGAGCCCAGTCCCCTCAGTCCAGCTACTCTGTGTCGTTGGCTACAGGGACCAGCGCATCAGCCAGGATGTGGAGCGATTCTGCCGGCAGCTCAGCAGCATGGCCAGCAAGCTGATCATCTCCCCCTTCACCCTTGCCTACTATACTTATCATTGTGTCCAAAGGTGAATCCTCTTCTCTTCCCAGCCTCCCTCCTCCTCTCCCCTTCTGTTTCCCTAGAGGTCCCTCACTCACATGTCCATTGGGTGGAGTCAGCTCTCCCAGGTCAGGGTCCAAGAGAGGCTTGTCCTCCCTCCCTCCCACCTGCACCCCAGGGAGTCTTCCTATCTCATGCACTTAGGCCCCTGGCCCCACTTTGGCCCTGTGGTGTTTCAGTGTCGTAGGGATCCTGGTGCTGTGACAGCTCACATCAGGTATCAGATGTCCCCATGTAGGGGTAGAGAGCCCATGCAGCTGCTGATCGGACAGGGGCTACCCAAGAGGGGGCAGGAAGCAGGGCTGAAGCCTGTGGGGGTGTGTGGCACCCCACACCCTCTTCTCCCTCATTCCCTCCCTCTCTCTCTGCCTTTTAGCACAGGCTGGCTTGGGCCTGTGAGCATCTTCGGGTATTTCATCCTGGGAACCTTGGTGAACAAAACTCTGATGGGACCCATTGTGGCAAAGCTGGTGCAGCAGGAGAAGCTGGAAGGGGACTTTAGGTATGTCTCCCTTGCTTGAGGTTTCTGGGCTGGGCATAATGGATAAGAAATGGGATCTGGAGTAAGACTGCCTAAGTTTAAATCCCAGTTAGGGCAGTTATGAACTGTGTGATCCTGGGAGAGGGCTTTAACCTCTCAAAGTTTTAGTTTTCTTATCTCTGCAGTGGGTCTGGTACTGTTACCTACCAAGAGAATTATGAGCATTAATGAGATTACACATGAGAAGCGCTGAGAACAGGGCCTGGTTGGCCATCACCATCATCATCGTCATCCCTTGACCTTCTCGCACGCTTCTCGTCTAACCACCCTGTCACGGGTCAGTCGGGCCTGACAGTTGATGCATCCAGCCCCTACTGTGTGCTTCTTGGCCTCCTGCTTCAGGCCAGGCCCTGGAAGGAGGAGGTGCGGTGGGCAGGAACCCTCCTGTCCTCCCTGCAGAAAGCTGAGGGGCAGCCCTGTCTGTGCAGAGCCCCTGCCATCCCACTCAGTCCCTGGGATGTCCCACCCCTGTGACAATCCAGGAAAGGGTCAGGCTGAGGCAGCCAGAGTTTTGAGGTGGAGCCGGACTCCCATTTGTCTAGGGGGATTTTGGTGATCCAGGGCTTCAACAGGAGAGGGGCCAGCAGTCCTTATTGCCAGCACACGTTTTCCTTTCATCTGCCCAGGTTCAAGCATATGCAGATTCGGGTGAATGCTGAGCCTGCTGCTTTCTACAGGTGAGTCTGGCGGAGACAGCTCCCTTTCTGCTTTGCCAGAGCTGATAGTGGAGAAGGAAAGCTGAGTCTACCACCCTCCCACCTCATTGCCAGTGACCCTCTCCCTGTTCCTCTCTCTCCTTGTCTGCCTCATCCTTGGTTCCAGGGGTTTGCTTCTGAAGCTGGTGGATCCTTACAGTGGCCAGCTTTAGTCTTACTGCTCTGGCCTGGGGCCTGAAATTGTCAAAGAATAACATGAGTGCCTGCTTCATCACCTTGCTGAAGACCAGAGGACATCGCCTCTGCATCTGTTTTTCTGTCTGTAAAATAACTTCCTTGCCAGTGTGTGACATCCAAGGCTAATCTTTTCTCTCTGTAGCAAGGGAGGGAATTGGAGCCTCTCAGATCAGTTGCTCCCCACCGATGCCGTCCAAGTGGAGCCAAGTGGCTGGTCTCCTGATGGCAGCATTGTGAAATCCCATCCATTCCCTCCGGGGCCGGGTGGGTCCTGTGTTCTGCCTTGCGAGAGGCCTCCACAATCAGTGTTTGGACTGATAGTACAGGCCCGAGCGGTTCGTTTAAGAAGTAGAAGCTACTGCTCTGATTACCTGTACTCGGGTGGAATTGATAGCCCTAGAACCTTGGGTCTTCACTCTGTCTCTGCAGCAGTTTGCAGCCACCTCCACTTGCGAGCATCAGGAATCCTAGAAATCTGAGCTGGGGTTGGGTTGTGGGGTGGGTAGGGCTGGGCTGGACAAGTTCGCTTTTGGATTCTGCAGTTTTGCTCTTGAAGTTTTGGGCTCTGGGCTCTGGGGAAGGGAGATTAGATCTTGGAGCTCCAAATGGGTTCTTCTGCAGCCTCTCTCTCTCTGTGCAAAGTCTGAAATGCCCCTTTTCCTCTTTCCACCCTTTCTGCTTGGAGAATTTCTGCCTATCNTGAGGCCCAGGGATTGCCGACAACTTGCTCAAGGTCACATCTCTCAATGAGAGTAGCAGTCATTGTGGCCCTGGGGGTGAGATGGAACATAGTGGGTTTCTCCTTCACATTCGTCCCTTCCTCTCTCACCACCCTCCCAGCAAGCACTTTGTTGCTGGGGTGACTTTTCTCAGCTCAAGCAGAGCCTTGCAGCAAAGCTTCTTGGTCAGCTGCTGCTGCTGCTTAACTTCTGGGCTTCTTCTGATGGCTCAGCCCATATGAATCTTTCACAGCTAGACTGCTCAAATGGGGCAGGTGCAGGCTCATATAAAAGAAACTAGGGAGGATTGAGATAAAGTAGACAGTTTTCCTGATCATCCAGAAAAGCAGCTCATCGACCCTCAAGTTTTTCTTTAGCTCTGCTCAGAGCTGGCTCAGGCCCCTGGGTGCTGGACCTTCCAGTTCTCACTTTTTCTGAGGGATAAACTGAGGTACCATAAGATGCAGCTCTCCAGAATCCCATTCAGAGACCCTCAGGGCTTAGTTACCTCTAGGAAACCAGCCTTATCTAGGTCCATCTTCCCATGGGGTCATTGCTGCAGCACTGAAAGGCAAGGTCAGAAGAAGAGGTAATGTGACACTGCGTTGGCTCTCCGCACCCCTCGAGCCCAGTCCCCTCGGTCCAGCTACTCTGTGTCGTTGGCTACAGGGACCAGCGCATCAGCCAGGATGTGGAGCGATTCTGCCGGCAGCTCAGCAGCATAGCCAGCAAGCTGATCATCTCCCCCTTCACCCTTGCCTACTATACTTATCATTGTGTCCAAAGGTGAATCCTCTTCTCTTCCCAGCCTCCCTCCTCCTCTCCCCTTCTGTTTCCCTAGAGGTCCCTCACTCACATGTCCATTGGGTGGAGTCAGCTCTCCCAGGTCAGGGTCCAAGAGAGGCTTGTCCTCCCTCCCTCCCACCTGCACCCCAGGGAGTCTTCCTATCTCATGCACTTAGGCCCCTGGCCCCACTTTGGCCCTGTGGTGTTTCAGTGTCGTAGGGATCCTGGTGCTGTGACAGCTCACATCAGGTATCAGATGTCCCCATGTAGGGGTAGAGAGCCCATGCAGCTGCTGATCGGACAGGGGCTACCCAAGAGGGGGCAGGAAGCAGGGCTGAAGCCTGTGGGGGTGTGTGGCACCCCACACCCTCTTCTCCCTCATTCCCTCCCTCTCTCTCTGCCTTTTAGCACAGGCTGGCTTGGGCCTGTGAGCATCTTCGGGTATTTCATCCTGGGAACCTTGGTGAACAAAACTCTGATGGGACCCATTGTGGCAAAGCTGGTGCAGCAGGAGAAGCTGGAAGGGGACTTTAGGTATGTCTCCCTTGCTTGAGGTTTCTGGGCTGGGCATAATGGATAAGAAATGGGATCTGGAGTAAGACTGCCTAAGTTTAAATCCCAGTTAGGGCAGTTATGAACTGTGTGATCCTGGGAGAGGGCTTTAACCTCTCAAAGTTTTAGTTTTCTTATCTCTGCAGTGGGTCTGGTACTGTTACCTACCAAGAGAATTATGAGCATTAATGAGATTACACATGAGAAGCGCTGAGAACAGGGCCTGGTTGGCCATCACCATCATCATCGTCATCCCTTGACCTTCTCGCACGCTTCTCGTCTAACCACCCTGTCACGGGTCAGTCGGGCCTGACAGTTGATGCATCCAGCCCCTACTGTGTGCTTCTTGGCCTCCTGCTTCAGGCCAGGCCCTGGAAGGAGGAGGTGCGGTGGGCAGGAACCCTCCTGTCCTCCCTGCAGAAAGCTGAGGGGCAGCCCTGTCTGTGCAGAGCCCCTGCCATCCCACTCAGTCCCTGGGATGTCCCACCCCTGTGACAATCCAGGAAAGGGTCAGGCTGAGGCAGCCAGAGTTTTGAGGTGGAGCCGGACTCCCATTTGTCTAGGGGGATTTTGGTGATCCAGGGCTTCAACAGGAGAGGGGCCAGCAGTCCTTATTGCCAGCACACGTTTTCCTTTCATCTGCCCAGGTTCAAGCATATGCAGATTCGGGTGAATGCTGAGCCTGCTGCTTTCTACAGGTGAGTCTGGCGGAGACAGCTCCCTTTCTGCTTTGCCAGAGCTGATAGTGGAGAAGGAAAGCTGAGTCTACCACCCTCCCACCTCATTGCCAGTGACCCTCTCCCTGTTCCTCTCTCTCCTTGTCTGCCTCATCCTTGGTTCCAGGGGTTTGCTTCTGAAGCTGGTGGATCCTTACAGTGGCCAGCTTTAGTCTTACTGCTCTGGCCTGGGGCCTGAAATTGTCAAAGAATAACATGAGTGCCTGCTTCATCACCTTGCTGAAGACCAGAGGACATCGCCTCTGCATCTGTTTTTCTGTCTGTAAAATAACTTCCTTGCCAGTGTGTGACATCCAAGGCTAATCTTTTCTCTCTGTAGCAAGGGAGGGAATTGGAGCCTCTCAGATCAGTTGCTCCCCACCGATGCCGTCCAAGTGGAGCCAAGTGGCTGGTCTCCTGATGGCAGCATTGTGAAATCCCATCCATTCCCTCCGGGGCCGGGCGGGTCCTGTGTTCTGCCTTGCGTGAGGCCTCCACAATCAGTGTTTGGACTGATAGTACAGGCCCTAGAGGTTCGTTTAAGAAGTAGAAGCTACTGCTCGGATTACCTGTACTCGGGTGGAATTGATAGCCCTAGAACCTTGGGTCTTCACTCTGTCTCTGCAGCAGTTTGCAGCCACCTCCACTTGCGAGCATCAGGAATCCTAGAAATCTGAGCTGGGGTTGGGTTGTGGGGTGGGTAGGGCTGGGCTGGGCAAGTTTGCTTTTGGATTCTGCAGTTTTGCTCTTGAAGTTTTGGGCTCTGGGCTCTGGGGAAGGGAGATTAGATCTTGGAGCTCCAAATGGGTTCTTCTGCAGCCTCTCTCTCTCTGTGCAAAGTCTGAAATGCCCCTTTTCCTCTTTCCACCCTTTCTGCTTGGAGAATTTCTGCCTATCCTTGAACCCCTAAGTCACCGCTTCTGGGAGCCTTCCAGACTCCCTTAGTGGTCAAGCCTGTTTGCTGCCATAGCCCTTAGGACACACTTAACTTTCCACATTCCAGGTGAAGAATGCAGTATACCTGCCTGCCTGCCCTCTGAACTGGGAGCTCCTCAAAGACAGGGACCATTTTATCCACTCCTTCACTGCCCCAGCTAACCACCACAGAGCCTGGCATGTAGTGACTACTCTATGTATATTTGTTTAGTGATAGCAGCTATTATTTTCTGAGGGCCCCTCATGTGTTTGGCACTTTATTTATTTATTTTTTTTTTAAAGATGACCGGTAAGGGGATCTCAACCCTTGGCCTGGTGTTGTCAGCACCACGCTCAGCCAGTGAGCAAACCGGCCATCCCTATATAGGATCCGAACCCGCGGCCTTGGTGTTATCAGCACCGCACTCTACCGAGTGAGCCACGGGCCGGCCTGTGTTTGGCACTTTATATTCAGAAACTCTTTAGGTGTAATTAGCTCCATTTTACAGATGAGAAAACTGAGGCTCGGAGGCTTAAGTAACCTGCCGGTGTCACCCAGCTGGTAACTGGCCAGAGCCAGGAATTGAACGAGGTTTGCCTAACACTAGAGTTCATGTTCTTTCCACAGACGGTACCATACGGAATGACTGAAGTAGTGAGTGGGTGTCAGGGGTAGAAAGGATCTGAAGCTAAGGTCATTTGGATGGGCTTGGTCCCTAAAGGCAGGTGTGATGAGGGGCAGGGGCCCCCACCCAGCCTGGCTGAGCCTCTCCAAGCCCCAATGGACATCCCAACCTTTCTTGTCAGAGCGGGGCACGTGGAGCACATGAGGACAGACCGCAGGCTGCAGAAACTCCTTCAGACCCAGAGGGAACTGATGTCCAAGGAGCTCTGGCTGTACAGTAGGCAGATGGGGTCCCAGGGGTGGGAACCACAGGCTAGGCATGGTCCACTTCCCTTCCCACATTCCCGACTTTGTCTGCACTCACCAGTTTGCTCAGATGAGGGGATTAACCGGGGGAACCACTGCCTTTAGGGGTGGGAACCACAGGCTAGGCATGGTCCACTTCCCTTCCCACATTCCCAACTTTGTCTGCACTCACCAGTTTGCTCAGATGAGGGGATTAACCGGGGGAACCACTGCCTTTGCCATGAGTGTCCTCAAGAGAATGAGGGTTTGGGGAGACTGTGGCCCTGCTCTGCTTCCTGCTTTCCATCCCAGGGCTTGTGTCCCCTGCAGAGCACATAGTTGGTTCCCAGGTCTCTCATGCAATGTGTCTTCTGCAGTCGGCATCAACACCTTTGACTATCTGGGCAGCATCCTGAGTTACGTTGTCATCGCAATCCCCATTTTCAGTGGGGTCTATGGAGACCTGAGTCCCACAGAGCTCAGCACCCTGGTCAGCAAGGTGAGAATCCCTCCTGGTGCCCTCTCAGGCTGTCCACTCTGCTCTTTGGCCCAGGGCCGCACCATTGAGGCCCATGTGACTGCTCTCTTTCCTGTCCAGAATGCCTTCGTGTGTATATACCTCATCAGCTGCTTCACCCAGCTCATCGACCTCTCCACGACGCTCTCGGATGTGGCTGGCTACACGCACAGGTGAGCCTGTGTCCCGGGAGCCCCTGTGGTTCCTGAGCAAAGTGTGTGCCGCTGGAAGAAGTGGCTGTGTGAAAAAAGGGACAGAACTCACTACATACTAGCGGGTGTGAGACAGAAAAAGGAGTTTCACCTCCGTCTGGGACCCCCATCCCCCGCCTCAGGTTTTCACTTCTTGCCCAGGATTGGGGAGCTGCGGGAGACCCTGCTGGATATGTCCCTGAAGTCACAGGACTGCGAGATCCTGGGCGAGAGCGAGTGTGGCTCGGACTTGTGAGTACTGGCTGGCAGCTAGTGCGGTAGTTGAGGGTGCAGGCTCAGGAAGTGCTCAGCTCGGTTCACCCCAGAGCGCTCCCCTTTCCCAGCCAGGCAGCAGAGTTGCGAGGAGTAAACAGGAGGCATCTCATCCGTGCCTGGCACGTTATAAGTATTCACATCGATGTTGCCGTTCTGGTAAACATCGTGTTCATTACACCATTCCCTAGCTGATGGAAGCGGCTTGCACCCAACTGCCGGGCTGCAGACAACAAAAATCTGAGTAGTATCCCCCCTCTGCCTTCTTTTCCCTCCTCCTGCTAGCCCTGTTGCCTGCCCCTTTTCTCGGTGTGTGTCTCTTTATTCCCCGTGCCTCACTCAGACCCAGAAACGTCTTTATTCATGAGCCTTTGCAGATCTGTGATATCATAGCCCATGGAAAGTGCTTGGACAGTGGCCACATTTAGTAAGCTTACAAAAATGGAAACAGTCTGAACTCCAGGGCCTACACTCAACTCTCTTCTTAGAAACTAATGCTTTAACTGTTGCCCCTGTTCAAAATTAAAGCTTTGTACAACTGTGAGCCCAGAGACTGGGGTTGATGGTGTGGGGGGCACTGTAGGAAGCTGGGGTTGCTCATCTTAGGGGNAGAGACTGGGGTTGATGGTGTGGGGGGCACTGTAGGAAGCTGGGGTTGCTCATCTTAGGGGAGACGGGCATCTGTGGAGAGCCAGAAACTCCATTATCATTCCAGATTGTTACCAGCGTTCTAGTCGCACTCTGACACCATGAAAACCCACCAGTGTTAGATATAGACAAATTCAGCTCTGCAACCCTGGGCAGCTACTTAGGCACCTGACTCGGTTTCCTTATCTGCCAAGTGGGGGTAATATCTGCAATTCATTGGCATTAAGACTGATTAGGATCAGTCGCATACAGGCTTTGCCCAACCAGGCACAGAGTAGGTGCCCTCATCTCCACCCCTGTATTCATGTGCTCGGGCTGCTACAACAAAATACCATAGACTGGTGACTTAAACAACAGAAATTAATTTTTTCACAGTTCTGTTTCTTTCTTTCTTTTTGAGCTAACTGGCCAGGCTTATTTTCTCACAGTTCTGGAGGCTGGAAGTCCAAGATCAAGTTCTCGGCAGGGTTGGTTTCTTCTGAGGCCTCTCTCCTTGGCTTGCAGATGGCCACCTTCTTGCTGTGTCCTCACATGGCCTTTTCTCTGTGTGGGCACAGGTGCCCCTGCTATCTCCCCTTTCTTAAAAGGACACCAGTCCTATCGGATTAGGGCCCACTCTCACAGCCTCTTCTTAATGTCGTTACCTCTTTAAAGACCCTGTCTCCAGTTGCGGTTATATTCTGAGGTACTATGGTGTTGGGACATTAACATGTGGATTTTGGGGAGACACAATTCAGCCCTGACAACCCTCCAGTCCCAGCCTCTTCTTAATGTCGTTACCTCTTTAAAGACCCTGTCTCCAGTTGCGGTTATATTCTGAGGTACTATGGGGTTGGGACATTAACATGTGGATTTTGGGGAGACACAATTCAGCCCTGACAACCCTCCAGTCCAGAGGTGATGCCTCCCCACGGCAATACTGACTCTGCCTCTCTCCCCCGCATCCCTCCCTTCTCTGATCCCAGGGACCCGGGACTGCCAGCAGCAGAGCCGGCAGACATTGCTTTTCTCCTGGAGCAGGTCTCCATCTCTGCCCCCTCCTCCGACAAACCACTAATCAAGGATCTGAGTCTGAAGATCTCCGAGGGGCAGAGCCTGCTCATCACCGGCAACACGGGCACTGGCAAGACCTCCCTGCTGCGGGTTCTGGGTGGCCTCTGGGCGAGCACACAGGGTGAGAGCCAGCCCTCCCTGCCTCTGACCCAGCCTTGGCCCTAGGGGTGGGGCAAGGGCGGAGGGTGGGGTGGTAGAATCCAGTCTCTCTCATTGGGAAAAGAGGGTGGGAGGCAGAGAAGGAGAGGCAGAAACTTCTCTGGGAGATCTCGGAATGGAGGTTTCTCTGGGCTCAGCAGGCTCAGTACAGATGCTGACGGACTTTGGGCCCCACGGGGTGCTGTTCCTGCCACAGAAGCCGTTCTTCACTGATGGGACCCTTCGAGAGCAGGTCAGCCTAGTTCAGGGGCCCATGCCTCCCTTTCCACTCCTGCCTGCTCACGCCCAGAACCTCTGGCAATGTGACAGTCTCTAGGGAGTTGTGGGGTGAAAGGTGTATTTCCCCAAATACAATGGCCCACACCTGGGAACTCCCTGGCTCTGAGAACATTTTATTCAGCATCCATGGATTGGGCCCAGGTACTCAGAGCAACTCCAGGGGCAGGTGGATCAGTGGAGGCTGCAGGCCAAATACCACGTGCATTTGTTGAGCACAAAGGTTGGGCCCCTGCTCTCAGAGCACTCACAGACTCGTCCCTCCAAACACACTTCTGAAGCCTGCCTGGCCTCTCTGGGCAGTTCCTGTGGGTTCTGAGGGAGGGTGGGCTGTGGGCAGCTCCATCTCTCGCTGGCCCTCCATCTAGGCCAGTGTGGTTTTTGTTTTAGGTGATATATCCCCTGAAGGAGATCTACCCGGACTCAGGTGAGCTGGGCCTCCGTGGGTCATGTCCTCCCATCTCGATTGTCCCAGCTCTGCCTCACCTGTGCCCTTTGGGAGAGGCCTCAGCCAGGCTTATGGTTTCAGGTTGGGTCCCCTTCTCCTCCAACAGTTTACTAATGTGGGGCCTGTAGCCTGACCTCATCTCGTCCTGTCTTTCCCTCATCCCCTCTTTGAGGAGAGGTGCCCTTTGGAGGAAGGGAAGTAATTGCTTCCTTCACCTCTCCCTTCCTTTATCAAGTGCTGTAAGCTGTCACTTGAGGGCCTCAGCCCACATTCTGAGGGCCCCACCTCTGCTGTGATGTGCCCCATCTATTCTGGCTGGAGGGAGCCGACTCGTTGAAAAAGACTTCTCTGTTTTGCAGGTTCTACTGATGATGAGAGGATCATGAGGTTCCTGGAATTGGCAGGCCTGGTAAGGGGGGACCCAAGCCTACCCGGGAGCAACAGCCACAGGTAGGCGCTGGCCCTGCTATCTCTGACCCAGGCACGGAAGGATGAGCCTGGGCAGTGGGAGCTGTTGGCCGGGTGTAGGCAATAAGTGGATGCTCTCTGTAGAGAATTTTAAAACAGTAATAAAACTAAAGCAGTCTGCATTTTACTGTCACCATGCTCCAACAAGTCTAAACACTGTAGTTGATAGAACATTCCTCTCTGCCTGGGGCAGACTGCCCCCACAGCCCCTACCTCCATATGCCATCGGGGCATATATTTTTCTCAGAGGCACATGTGTGATGGGGACAGAGGGAGAATCCCCAGGATGGCAGGAGGCAGGGATGGGCCCTTTCATGGACCTCCCGCCCTCTGGGTCTGTTGCAGTCCAGCTTGGTGGCAAGGACAGAGGGGCTGGACCAGCAGGTCGATTGGAACTGGTAAGAACAGGGCTCGGGTGCTCCAGATTCAACTGCCCCAGTGGGTTCCAGGGGCCCTGTCAAGGGATGGAATGGCTTCTGACCCCAAAGTCCAGATGTTTGACTGGTCCATCGGGAGTAAGTTGGGAGCAGAGTTCTGGCCTCACCTTGTGTGGACAGCAGGGCTGTGGTTGAAAGAGAGGAGCGTCTGTCTGTCCTGGGGCCAACCACTCTACAGAGAGCCTCTTTGTGCCCAGACTTAGGTGAAAGCCGGGCTTCGTCTCCCTTCCTCAGGGGTCATCTCTCGCCCCCTCTCCCTAGGTATGATGTTCTGTCCCCAGGGGAGATGCAGAGGCTCTCTTTTGCCCGGCTCTTCTACCTGCAGCCGAAGTACGCAGGTGAGGTGTGCCCTGTAGCTTCATGTGCCAAGCGTAGCAGCGTGTGTTCACATGCACCTAGGCACACCTGTGCGGGCTGGGCATCTCCGCGTTCCCTGCCAGCAAGGACAGTGCTTGGCATCCTTAGCTGCTCTGGATGTGTTGTAATACTGATTAGTAAGCTTCTGCCACTGCAGCAGCTGAAGCCAGCCTGGAGGGGGTTGTGATTTTATGCTCCTCGGGCTCTGCCTTCAAATGAGTGGGCATCCCCCCAGCTGTGCCTGGCAGAGGGGTGGCAGGTGTGGACTTCTTCAAAGATTGATGTCCTTGGGTGAACTGGGATTCCCTGGATTGAGCAGTTCCAGGGAATGGCTGATGCTTATCTGTAGGCAGCGAGGGATTTCATCCAGCTGCTCCCAGGAGGACTCCCAGAGGGAGCCTGGGCCTTTGCTCCACTGGCCCATCTTCTCCCTCAGGCAGGGCTCCCATAAGCCAGAACAGCTTTCAGCCTCCCCAGGCATGAGTGTGGTTTGGAGGAAAAGCAAAGGTGGACTGTGTTCTGCCCACAGTGCTAGATGAAGCCACCAGTGCCCTGACAGAGGAGGTGGAGAATGAGCTCTACCGTATTGGCCAGCAGCTGGGGATGACATTCATCAGTGTGGGACACCGGCACAGTCTCAAGAAGGTACCCATGCTCACATGGTTGGCCTGAGAAGGAGAAAGAACCCAAAGGCTGGGCCTGGCCGGGGCCACAGGCCCCTCAAAATGGGGAGTAGGGGTGGCAGAGAGAGCAGGATGGCCTCTTGTTCTGGTGGCCAGGGCAGCCTGATCTCTGCATGTTGGTCTCTTGTAGTTTCATTCCTGGGTTCTGAAACTCTGTGGAGGAGGAAGATGGGAACTGAGCAGAATCAAAGTGGAATGAAGTCAGGGATGTGGATGGCCACCGGAAGGAGGGTCAAGCTTGGGCAGGTCAGCAGTGCCCGGGAGAGACCAGGAGGACTGATGGCACAGATGAGCCCCACATTCACCTCTCAGGTCCTGTGCGGGAGCCCTGGCAGCAGTGGGCTCAGCCTCCATGGGGGACCCTGAGTCTCCCCAGGGCTCCTTCTGCAGCCTCAGCCAGAGCCTTCATATTTTTGAAGTACTGATTACTTACAAATTACTTCAGATCATGTTTGCTAAAGAAACTGAAAGTGTGGGATCTCTAAGAAATGAAGTATCAAGATGGAAAGAGTGTTGGACTTGGAGTCAAGAGATCTTTTACTCTTAAATCAATTAAATTTACCCTGAGTCTCCCCAGGGCTCCTTCTGCAGCCTCAGCCAGAGCCTTCATATTTTTGAAGTGCTGATTACTTACAAATTACTTCAGATCATGTTTGCTAAAGAAACTTTGAAAGTGTGGGATCTCTAAGAAATGAAGTATAAAGATGGAAAGAGTGTTGGACTTGGAGTCAAGAGATCTTTTACTCTTAAATCAATTAAATTTTGTAATAGATTTTTAACTTTAACTGACCATTTACATTTTTGTAGCTTTTTTTTTTTTGTCTTTTTCCGTGTCCGGCAACGGATCGCAACCCTCAGTGTCGCCCCCGCACCGGACCGGGACCGGCAACGGGATCGCAACCCTCGGTGCTGCCCCCGCGCCTTGCTCAGCCAGCGAGCGGAAACCGGTCTGCATGTGGGATCCGAACCCTCGGGCGGGAGCGCCACCGCGCTTCCCAAGCAGTGCACTGGAGCAGTGCGCCACTGGGCCGGCCCTTGTAGCTTTTTTAAAAAGAAAAGTTAAACGTAAAAAAACTTTTTTTGCAGCTTTTCCTCTTTCTCTATCTTCTCTATTGTAGAATGGCCCTCTTTATTGAACCTCCAGACTTGTATTTGAGAGCCTGGAGGGCGGGCACTGCACCCCCCACTGTACTGGAATCTTCTGCTCATGGTTTTTCACTGCTCTCCACATCTCTTCCCTTTCCATTTGTCATTGTAGTGTAGTTAGTACCTGAGCCACTAACCTCTAGGGCCCATTTGTCTTTCTTAGCTACCCAGAAGAAGATAAATCCCTTTTCTTTTATCAAGTAAAATTTGAAATTTTTCAAAAATAATCTGTGTTAGGGAACAATAACAACGAATTAGACAAGACTCAGAAAGCACAGATGCATGAAGCACAAAGTTATTGAGCCCAAAGTTCTTACTCTGGAACAAGTTCCCCAAAGTTCTGCGTTTCGCCTTCATGATTTTTGCCAGATCTCTGTACTACTTAACCTGTTAATTGCTTAGTATTTTTTAAATTAACTCGCTTTTTAAATTTAAGTGTACTTTTAAAATAAATTTTACACTTTACATAAATAGAAGGTAACTGTAAAAATAAATATGATGAAAACCAAACAGTGTTATTAAATTGCAGCTAGATGCTGTTGCCTGCAAAGCCTCTGAGCCTGGCTTGCTCTGTTTGTAAAAAAAAGGGAAGTTGAGCAGTGTTAAAAAGGAGTTAGGGGCTGAGCCCGTGGTGCACTCGGGAGAGTGCAGCACTGGAAGCGCTGCGGCGCTCCCGCCGCGGGTTCAGATCCTATATAGGGATGACCGGTGCACTCACTGGCTGAGCG